AGATTCGACAGGAATTAAACCATTTCTGCGCAGTCCATTCATGTCTAAAATGCAAGACCAGGATCTGTCTCAAATCACTGCTCTAGTAGATAAAAAAAAGCTCTCGGCGTCCATCAATCCCTGAGGGATGCACCATTCATTCGACTTCATTAAGTATCGTTTGAGGTGATTGAATGCATATCCAGCCCTTACAATGACTCGAGGTGGCCTGCCGATGTATCGAGTCGGTGCTGCTATCCTTCCAGACAAGTCTGGTACCAATTTTCGGACCCCGGAGGAACGGAAGGCGTGGTGGGCCATGGGCGCGGAGACCGATTTCACGTGTGTGTCGCAGTGGCGCCTCCATCCACTGCGTCACATGCACTACTGTAGATATATCAACTAATGTATTGATTCCTGATATACATAAGGGAATAGAGGAGTGTATTAAGTTGTTGAATGAGTTTTCAGTGCACTTAAGGTTCACCAGAAGGAGCAGAAACGAAACTATCTTTTGTCGATGTCTAGTTAAACCTCACCGAGTACGACTGCATTACAAAGTGCTGTTGAAAACAAAACAATAGGAACAAAAATATGCTGTCCACTACTCCTCTTCTATCATTCGTATTTTATGAGGCCACATGTGAAGCACATATTGTGAACGTTCATTAATACGCGCACAGAAAGAGAGGTAAGCTAGAAATCGCTTCACTCGACGAAAAATGCAGGTTAAATTTTGAGGGAAAGCTTTTGAAAAGTACTAGCAAACCTTTTAGGTTAACACTTGATTAACACCTCGAGTGTGATAGTCCATGAAAAATACAAGACTGCGCAAGCTATCGTGACGACAGAGGGGAAAGTTGTCTGAGGTACGGTATGGAGTACCGAATTTTATGTGAAGCATGCGATGAGAAATACGTTGGCAAAACGGGCGAAGCACTTTGCGTCCGTGTGAAATAACACCTAAGGGGAAAGGTTGACGATGAGCGAAGTATCTCATTAGAGCCATACTAAACAGAAAACACGGCGTAGAGTATTCTGAAACAAAAGTCACGCCGATCGTGCAAGATCCTGAAAGAAGTACTAGCAAACCAAACCGAAAAATTTTCTACGAATATTGGACAAATTCCAAAAACCTAAAAACGAACCGCTAGGAGAAGGTTCATGTAATCATGCGTGCCTTCCCATGACTATCTTAGGCATATCGTTTAAGCTGATACATGCTTATTTTCTTAACAATATGTTCTCTCTCTTTCATTTACAAGAAAAGTGAACTACACAAAAACGCTGAGTTTAAACAAGTGTTTAAGGTGCGATTGGAATACGCGTTTTGCGTTAACTTCCAACTGGCCTTATGCAAGTATTTGGTTTACTGGACTGCACGGTAATATGATTTTTTCCACGCTCTGAACCAACACCGCCGAAACGTTAACAATCATGAATTAAAAGCTTTACTGGCTACTCTATGTTGGTTTAAAAAGAAACACATAAGTAATAGAGCGAACTCATCGTTTCTGAGTAATGTAAAAATTATTTATTTTCGTTTTCAAATTTGTTAGCAGCTTAGAAAAATAAGACTCACATTCTATTATTCTATTATTCTAGGGCATGATTGTTGTCCCGATCACTGATGCTTCGTCGTCCAGATTAAGTCATATGAGAGTCATTTACCCAGTGAAACAGTGGGCGATCTTTAGCTATTCAGTAGCTTCAGACTTTGTGATGGAGAGAAGGGTTTGAGCATATCCACGCACTCCACTATTAAGAAAAGATATAGCCATCAGGATATGTTGTCATTAGTGAGTTAGATAAGCAGATCGATCGTTCATAGTTACTTGACACTTGATACTTGAATGGCCCGTCCTCACTGGTTGTGCGGGCACAAGCATAAACTCCACTTTTCGGAGATTTGCTGGTTAAGCCATTATGGTTTCCTAGAATCCTGAGATCAGCCTGGTCAAAGTCTGCCTCAGGTCGTCACTACGACAGGCAGCCGCAGCCCTTGTGGACCAGAGGGAGATTTACCACCATGCGACTTTGATACCAGGCCGGTAGTAGATCCTGCTATTGGTTTACTCTTAGCTAGGCTTCCTGATGGAAACGCCAAACTCCTTCTCAATTTAGGAGGCCTTGCCAGGGGATGAATCCTCCGCTGTACATCGCAGTTCGACACCCAGGAACACCTCCCAGCCACGATGAGACGGTAAACCGTTGGGAGGCGTTTCGGGTGACGGGCGTTCATAGTTATCCTCTGGGAAGTTGTCATTAAAAAGTGGCCGGGTTGAACCACAACACTGTTAATTCTTTAAAAACTTGCGGTTCTTTAATAGTGACTGTAGGGCAATTTGATCGGTAAAGTAATCAAAGTGATTAAAATATGAAGAAAGTCTCACCTGTCTTTTGTTTTTTTACGGGATAACGTTCATTTGAGCCCTTTCCAACACTTGAGCCCATCACCTGAAGAACATTGCAGACATATAACCGCAGTGATGCTAAGATATTTGCAAAATTCCGGAGCGCAAGTGTCTAAGATGGAGATCGAACCTGCTGTTACCCTACCAGGTAGCTAACATGTTCATTACCATATTGAAATATGAGAAAGGAATAAGCAGTAAATAAAAGCACTACATTGTAATTCTAGATGCAATTTCAGCAACTACACACCACTGAAGTTCAGAATGATAGTGGTTATCGTAAGAGTTTGAGCAGAAAGAAGATTTCAACCCGTATTAGAGAGTGCGCATTGGTTCCAATGCGCTCTACTTGTGGCGGTTCATTTTGTTTATTTTGCGCACTAAGATTGCTGGACTTTTCCTATTTGTCAAGTAGCCTGTCAAACATAGGTTTACTTCGTACAGTTCAGATAATCCAGATAACCAATTATCCTCCACATAATGTTTCCTAAAAATGTTCATCGGGCGGATTTTTTCGTCAAGGATACTGTTCTTCGCACACTGAAATCTAAAGCTTAGGGCACCTCGCTGGGATAAGACGGCAATTGACTGGTATTTGACATTCAATATCGCTAACAATAAATAATGGCTACCGTATGGAAGGAATGGTTATAAGAAGTACTGAAATAGAGTCAAAATAAATTGCAAAATACCTCCAAATGCTACGAGTAATCTCGTTGCCTGGTGAACCATAAAAAAATGATAAATAGTGGCATACATATCTCTTGAACAGCAGAGCAAAATCTCTTTTAATTTTTTTTAATTCTGTAATTTTTTAAATTCTGTTTTTCTAAGAGTATCGTCTGTTATCGAAGAACCGTCATTTGTTCACTGTATATTGACAAGTTTTGGCAAGTCCGCAGCATACCCCATACTAAGCCTAGTGATTTGCTCCACAACGAAATAAACTTAGAGTTTGCTAAATGCATATAAAAGACGACGGGTTGTTTAGCAAATTAGACATTTTCATTACTCTCAAAAACATCTTATGCCGAGAGTGGACTCGGGATTTTCGGAAAACGTGAAGGCCGAGCTAAACAGGAGGACGCCATAGCGTCTAAGATTTTAAGGTCAAGTCTTTAGGTCCTTGTTGAGGAAGATTTGCTCTATCTCAGCCAGTTTAATACTGGGCCAATCTACAGTTATGGACCATGGCATACTTTAAAAACTGCCCTATATCGTGCTCGCGAATCAATAGAAGTGGTCAAGTGGAGGATTACAACGACACATATAACTGTGAAAAGCTGTGAAAAAGTGGTTTCCTTGGTGCTTTTATGTTTTGTGCACTCGATCAAAGTTTTTTTTAGCAGAATTTCCGATGAGAACTGTTTGAGAAAACAGTGGAAAATGTTTAAATGTACTTATTAGACGAACTAACAAACAACTGGCGCTCCTTATAACCCACATAATTCTGATTCCTCCTTCCTCATATCTGAAAGCTTCTTACAGTTTTCTAGCGATCACAGTGAAGTTTTTTCCAATGAGGAATCTCCAAGATATTCTAATGGAATCATAAACTAATCGACTGCAGAAAGACACTGTTAATTAACATTGGCGAATGTAAATGAGAACGTTGACAAACTTATAAAAGCTTCTGTCAAAATAGCAGCGTAATGGGAAAGAAAAAAAAATACTAGGACTTCTTTCGAATTTTTGAGGAGGATGAGTGACATAGCAATGCATTAAAGTCGCTCTGCTGGACTACGTGACGTGAACATTGTGTGGGTTTTTTGTTGCTGAGTGCTATGATTGTTGAACTGTGCCAGTGAAGATGACCTGTGGAAAAATGTGGAGTTGTAATGGAAAATATTCTCACTAGTAATGAGCAACATTGTAATCGAACGAAAATCCTTCTCGAGGATTGAAATATTGCAAAAAATCAATCTATGTGTATGTGCGTGTCTATACACGCACATATATATATATAATTACGCGTATAATTATATACATATATATATATATATATATATAACTATACACGTATATATAACTTCTTCACGGATTTCCACCACATGAGGGATCTTAAGCCGGCCAGTCGCGAGGCTACGTGGCGCGTTCCCTAGATGGCGGATAGGGGTTAATCGCAGACCAAAAATGATCTTTGCTTCCCTGAGACGCAGGTGGATCCAGGAGATGGACTCCCTGTTTCTGTTGGGTTGATTTGGTACATACTTTCTGTATTTGCTAGGTGTATTCATGCATGCGTATGTGGGTGCATTCTTGCTTATTCGGATTGCACTCTACGAGTCAATTCGGCCAAAAGCCAGCAATCAAGTGACTGGGAAGTATATGGGAGGCGGTTAGGAGTCGCCTCCAACAAATATGCACCATGTCCACTCTGGAAGAGCTTGGCTAGCTACCCGTGAGTATGCCCAACCTCCACGTTCAGAGCCCAGCAAGCTATACGTGGATACCAAAATGCTAAACATAGTGAAAAAAACGGACCTCACTCCCCGAAAGAACCCTTAATTACGTAGCGTTAGGTAGGACGAGTACGGAGAGGCTGCTAAAATAGCACGGCCCATGGAAGCTGCCTGGATTAGAAAAAACTATGGTGACGAACCGTACTTACAATGCACGTGCACTTGCGTTCGAGTCCTCGATAGAAGACTTGCTCATGTAGGCAAGAAGAATAAGGTACGACGTCATCGGCCTGGCCGAAACGAGACGACGGGACGCATTCAACGCCGTCCATGACACCGGAGGAGAACTGTTTCTCGGAACATGCGACAGTGGAGGAGTCGGCGGCGTCGGCGTTCTCGCCAACGCGAGCTTGTCCATGAACATCGTTTCATTCGAACAACTAACAGCTCGAATCGGACATTTACGGTCAAAAAGATGTCGACCAATTCCGGTTTTGACAATTCTCGTCGTTTACGCACAGAAATCAAACTATGACGAAGGAAAAGTCGAAGCAAAGGCTATACATTCTTGAAGGTTACCGTTGAAAATTTCAACGCCAAGTCTGGACCAAGAAGGACGTCTGAAGAACGTCACATTGAAACCCACAGAATGGAATGGAACGAACAGGGTGAGCGGCTTTCTGAGTTCATCGTGGCGATCAAGACAATCGATGCTAACTCGCCATTCCGGGAGGCCCACACTGAAAGCTGGACGTCTCTCAATGGATAGTACCATAACGAAATAGACCATCCATTAGTGGGCTGTTGGAAAAATTCCGTTTTCGGAAGCATCGACAAAAAATACTATCGGCTCATTCAGCATTTTCACGTTAGCGCTATGAAAGCTGAGAGTTCGAAAGTCACCAAGAGACGTTTGTCTCCAGAAACACTCGAGCTGATACGCCAGTGTGGAAACGCACGAGCTACAAGCAACCGCGAACTAACGTCCGAACTTGCAAAACAATGCAGTCAAGCAAAAAAAGATCTTTAAGAGAGAAGAGCAGAAGTAATGGTCGAAGCTGCAGAGGCTGGGAAAGGAATCGCAAAGCCTAGCCGACCTTCGCCAATCACAAGACCAAAATGATTGCACTCCGATGCCCAGATGGAACAGTTACAGCGTCTAGAAAGCAATGGAAAAAATAATTCACGAATAGTACTCAAATATCTTCTATAGCCACGTCCACCCCCGTTATATGTAATAAAGGAAGATGGATATGTTGTACCACTTGTTCTCCCTTCCGAAATCCGAAATACCATTTCGTCGGCGAAAAATCGAACAGCACCTCTAGACCGGATAAGACCAGAACACCTGAAGAACCTTCCGCCAGTCCTCGTAAACACATTGGCTCGGCTCCTCATACGTTACCTGTCTGAATGCAAGGTCCCTACTCAGCAGAAGACCAGCAAGACCGTGCTATTGTTCAAGAAGGGTGACCTACACGATATCGGCAGCTACCACCCAATCTGCTTACTGTCTGTCGTCTACAAACTTTTTACTCGAGTCATCCTAAATAGGATTGAGAAAACTCTGGACGAAGGACAGCCATGTGAGCAAGCAGAGTTTCGAAAAGGATTTACTACGATGAACCACATCCACACGGTCACACGGCTCATTGGTGTTGCGAGAGTACAAAAGACCGCTCTGTCCCACATTCATTTATTCGGTTTATGGAAGGCCTTTGATACAATTGAAATAGAAGCAGTCATGGAAGCCTTTGATAGTCAAGGAATCCCTACTCAGTGCATAAAGATTCTTTGTGAGCTGTACAAAAATTTCACAACCAAGGTATCGCCATTTTACGACAATATTAACATTGACGTCGAAAAAGGAGTTAGGCAAGGCGGTGCCATTTCGCCAAAATTATTTAACGCCACCCTCCAGAGTGTCATGTGAACATTAGAATGGGATAGATAATATGGGAATGAAAATCGATGGTTGGTAGTTACACCATCTTTGCTTTGCTGATGACATCGTCCTTATAACACCAAACATTAGCCAAGCGGATCGTATGCTCGCGACTTTGATAAAGCCTGTGGAAAGATTGGTTTTTCTAAATCACAAACTAAACCTCACAAAAGCGATGTTCATAAAGAATGAATTAGTTTCGTATGCCCTATTCACTCCCAGCAGAACGAATATCTCCGAATGCTAAAGTTACGTTTATCGAGATCGGAAAATCAACATGATGAACGACTTAGCTCCAAAGCTGAGTACTAGATGCCAGTCTCTTGGGGAGCTGTGACATGACAATAAATACCCGACTCCGCGCCCACCTTTTCGAGTCAACGATGCTACCTACGCTAACGTATGCGTTAGAAATCTGGTCGCTGCGTAGGCAGGATGAAAGTTCACTCAGCGTTATAGAATCCGTAGTCGAAAGGACGACGCTAGGAGTGTACCGTTCTACACAACTAAGGGATTCGAAGTTCCCACCTGCGTTTCAACTAAGGGATTCGAAGTTCCCACCGTTCAAAAATTAAGGATGCCGTTCTATACGCCAAACAGTTGAAGATAAGGTGGGCCGGAAGCGTAATGCGTATGAATGATAACGGATGGAGAAGAGCCGTTAGTGACTGAATTTCTAGGAATGTTCAATGTGCTGCCGGAAGACCACCGATCCGATGGCCAGAGTTTTTCATAAAAAGCCTTGAAAGAAGATAAGATGCTCGACGAGTCCCTATAGCTAGCAGAATCTACTGGGCTACTCCTCTACGCGACAGGGAAAAATGGAAGATCTATTGACGCGCGCTCGAATCACTCAACGATGAACGGGACTACAGGTGAAACAAACGATATAAATTCTCTATTTTATGAGGTCAGAATTTTGGAATAAGCTTGATATACTACATCAATACAAATTTATATGCTATTCTAAATTTTTGCGAGTTTTAGTTGATTTTGCAGTTGCATCCATCATGTGCCTAGATGTGTTATCATTCACGGGGTTCGAGAGCAGCTTAAACATCTGAAAGTTGATTCCCAAATAACAATTGGATTAGCTTAGACGGACAACAAAAGCGATTTTTTAAACAATTCCATAAACATCAAGTTGCTTCTCTCGTGACCCACTCTAATATTCTTATCATCTACCTATCATTTACGCCACTCATCGAAGAGACCATCGATGTTAATTTCGCGACACGTATCCTTTTGTTTCTTAAAAACTCCCATCTATTCCTCGAAGATTTAAGCTATGAAAAAACACTTGAGATATTTAGACATCACTTCTTTTGTGCCGCCTCTACGATACTCGCTTGTTGGTATCGAAGCGAGAACCGCTATAATTTCGCATTTGTTAGTGACTATTCACTTCATGTGCCTGCTGGAATCGTCTAGTAGCGTGTATCGTTTCTTTTGTAAAAGCTTCTGCGTATTGCTTGGTAAGCGTCTAGAGGTTGTCTCTAGTGAAGAAGAGGTAGCTAGACACAGATTCGGAGACCCTTCACTAACCATTCGAGGTATTCATCCAAGTCTTCACTCTTAGGCAGTTATAGTTGGATAAAGCATCACAGAGAACGGAGTGCCGGAAGCTTTTTTGTTTTTGTCGCCTTGGGACTGAAGTTCCTTGCACACTTGTAGTTAAAGTTACTCTTTGCAAGGTGATGGTGGTGATTTAAGCCGGTGCTGAAAAATGGAACTCCGCGATATCGAACGGACTCCATCTTTTGTTCATAAAAAAGTGGTCGTTTACGGCATGTGCTGCGTCGTTGAGGAAATTTACGTCTAGCTGTGCTGGTCTTTATGCTTGACAAAGAAACTTCAATGGAAGAAAATGATCGGAGAGAGTAGTACTCTGAAAGATCACTGAGGTCTTCACTTTGGTAAAACTTCCTCGCCTTTACTTTTACTTTACTTTCCCATACATATGCATTAAAGTAAAAAATTGCAGGTGGATTTCTTGTCGCGAGGTTTTTGCGATGTTTACGAAATGTATCGAATTCCACGTCAGTTTGTCATACTTCACAAAATTCACGTGTATCAAAACTTTTTCCGTTCGTTNAAAAAAGGTTCAAATTAGAGATTCGGAGACGGTTTGAGGACCTGTAGGCCCCTTCTTCGTTTGCGTGCTGAGTGGTAGCTGAGCGTGATTTTCACAAAAATCATTAGTTAGCCATGTTAGGGCGCACCCAGGTTCTTAGCAAGGCAATTACTTACTTGATACTTGAATAGCCCGTCCTCACTGGTTGTGCCGACCCCAGAATAATCCCCACCCCTCAGAGATTTGCTGGCTAAGCCATTGTGGTTCCGCGGATTTCCGAGTACAGGCTGGCTAAAGTCTGCCCCACGTCGTCACCACGAAAGGCAGTCGCAGCCGTTGTGGATCAGAGGGAGATTTGCCACCATGCGACTTTGATACCAGGACGGTGGTCGATCTGGTATTGGTTTACTCTTAGCTAGGCTTCCTGATGGAAACGCCGGACTCCTTCTCAGCTTGGGAGACCTTGCTAGGAAATAAATCTTTCGCTTTACATCGCAGTCCGACACCCAGAAACACCTCCCAGCCACGACGAGGCGGTAAACTGTTTGGAGGGCTGGTCGATATGCAGGAATCAGGGGTAAAGTGAGGATTTTTGCATTACAACTAAGCCTCTTAAACAAAGGATCGATTTACCTACTTACAGTCTTTGTAAGTAGTTAAACGGACGCCCTTAATAAATTGTTGAATAATAGAAAAAGAAGCTCTCGGCATTGATCAATCTCTGAGGCTTGCGCCATGCATTCGACTTCATTATGCATCATTGGAGGGGATTGAATGCATATCCAACCTGTACAATGACTCACGGTAACTTGTCGATGTATCGAACCGGTGCAATTATCCTTTCAGAGAGGTCCGGAAGCCTTGGGTGCGAGATCGAGCCTAGGTGTATTGCAGGACGCCTTTGACCACTGCACTACACGCTCTTCTTTACACTCTTGATTGTTGTTGTAAATTAAGCGAATACGCTCCGAAATGGCATTGATTCTAATCGTTCTTATGACGATTAGCCATTTTTTTAAAGCTGAAGCTTCCTGCTTTGGAGGTGCGAGTTGAAGACAGCAACTACTTTGCACTAAGCTAGTAGTTGAATAATTTCCGTGTTTAGCACAGTTAGTCTTACCTCTGTTGTAATAAGGAAGGAAGGCTACGATATTGCCTGTTTTAATGTGCACGAAAGCAGCAAAATGTGTGTTTCGCATGAAGGGTGTGGAATTTAAATTACTAATTTCCGTTTTTAATAAAGTAAATTTACACAAATTTTTAGTCGGTTTAATACAGCAAAAACGATGCCGACAAACCACTCTGCTATACGACCACCTTAGAACTTCGACGTTCTGAAATGGATGGGTAGTGGTGTTAAAATGCAAGCTGGCTTATCACATAGAGATTTCCGTTTTAT